CCCGGCCGATTTAGGGATTCTTTAGTTGACAATTGGCTGAAAGAGTTAGATTTTGTCCAAAAGATGAGGAATCAGCTGAAAGGAATGTTTAAGTGTCTTCTATCTTTGACGTGATGCTATACCAGAATCAGGTTGGGAAGTAAACAACATCATAAAAACCTGTTGAAGCATGACTCAACAGGCCCCCTTAGAAAGGAATTTTGTTTGGGTGGGGGCAAAGAAAAAGATCAGAGTTCAGTCCTCAAAAAAGAAAAGATATTTATTTGGCTCACAGTTCTGAAGGCTGAAAAGTCCAAGAATGAGGGACTTCTTGCTGCATCAAAGCATGGGGGAAGGCATCACATGGGAGAGAAGGGGGGAAGAAGGGAGAAAATGAACCAAACTCCCAAAATAACTAACCACTACTGCAATAATGGTATTAATATGTTCTTGAAAGCAAAGCCCTGGTGACTTAATCACCTTTTAAAGTTCCCACCTTTTAATACTGTTAGAGCGGCAATTAAATTTAAACATGAGTTTTAAAGGGGACATTCAAACCATAGCAGGAGTAGTAAAGGTCAAAGTGAACCAAGATTCTACAAAGTCTTTTGACATAATTCCTACCCTGGAGGAATTTATAAACAAGACTAAGGATTAGATACGGCAACAAGAAACAGAGACCCAACCAAGCAAGACAGTCTAGAGTGAAGGGTTGGGTTATAGTATAGGTTATAGTATAGTAGCCACAGTGCACAGTGAGGAGCAGAGTAGAGGTTGGCCAGCATAGTATTGAACCTTGACTCCCCTCTCTCCTCCAGGGATATTTGCTTTTCAACAGGGGATAGAAAAAAAGTTTACTAAGGTAAAGTAAATACCTGGTAAGGTTTTAGACATCAGACATCTGGGAAAAATGAAACCTGAAGCAGAGTCCTCTAAAATTAAAATATGTAGGTGGTGGCCTACTCCAAAGGCAAGTAGTAAGACTGTCTGGAAAATATTTCCTTTGGAATGTTGCAGAAGAGTCACTCCCACTACAAGCTGTCAAGGAAAATTTGCAATCACTTAGGTATAAACCAGGTCCCACCACAAAAACTGGCATTTCTGTCTAGGACTTTGCCCAATCTAATGTTTTTATTTGGATCTCAAGTGATGAATTCCAAGAAATTTATGGATTTAGATTCACAGCCTGGAATCATCTGGACACCCACCTGAGATTATGCAATAGGGTTTGGGAAGTAATAAAAACATGTTTTGCATTAGCTTGGCAGTTGTTTTATCACTCCAACGTGTACAGCTCTTCCCATGATACTCATTGTATATTATCATCTCTATTTTCAAGTTCTTTCCCTATGGGATCTATCTCCCCAGAAAGAATGTAATAATAATAGTAACAGGCCGGGTGCAGTGGCTCATGCCTGTAATCCTAGCACTCTGGGAGGCTGAGGCAGATGAATCATTTGAGCTCAGGAGTTCGAGACCAGCCTGAACAAGAGCGAGACCCCGTCTCTGCTAAAAAAGTAGAAAGAAATTAGCTGGACAACTGAAAATATATAGAAAAAATTAGCCGAGCATGGTGACGCATGCCTGTAATCCCAGCTACTCGGGAGGCTGAGGCAGAAGGATCACTTGAGCCCAGGAGTTTGAGGTTGCTGTGAGCTACACTGATGCCACAGCACTCTAGCCTGGGAAACAGAGTGAGACTCTGCTCTCCGCCCCCCCCCAAAAAAATAGTAACAACTTACCTTTCTTTATCACCTGCCATGTGTTGGGAACTAAGTTAATGCTTTTACACATATTTGTGTATTTAATTCACATGTCGACCCAACAAGGTGTTGCTATTATCCCCTTTTTATAATTGAGAAAACTGAGGTATGGAGGAGTTAAATAATTCATCCAAGATTACGACAACCAGTCCATTGCAGAGCTGGGATTCAAACTCAGTGATCTGCCTTACTCCAAAGCCAGTATTCTTAAAGACATTCATGTATATTAGGCCCTCCTAGGCTTTGGGGGATTGGTTCCAGGACCTCCTCACATACAAAAATCTGCCTATCACAAGTCACTTAGATTCAACCAATTGTAGATAGGAGGCCCTCTGTATCCGGAGATTCCACATCCACAAATGCAGATATGGAGGGCCAACTGTATCACCAACTCAAAGCAAATATCTTTTTTTTCTCCACTGTGGTGCCCAGTGCAAGACTCTGAATTCTTGATATCCTTAGGAACTGGCGAATCTCTAAATGCACTAGATAAAGTACTGGCATACCTTGGAAATGTTGCACGTTTGGTTCCAAATTATCACAATAAAGACAATATCACAATAGAGCAAGCCACACAAATTTTTTGGTTTCCTAGTGCATATAAAAGTTATATTTATGCTATACTTTAGTTTAAGTATGTAATAACATTATGTTTAAAAACAATGTACAGACCTTGTTTTTAAAATATTTTATCCCTAAAAAATGCTAATGATTATCTGAGCCTGCAGCATGTCCTAATCTTTTTGCTGGTGGAGGGTCTTTCCTTGATGTTGACGGCTGCTGAATCAGAATAATGGTTGCTGAAGGGTGGGGTGGCTGTGGCAATTTCTTAAAATAAGACATCAGTGGACTCTTCCTTTCATGAACGATGTCTCTGTACCATATGATGCTGTTTAATAGCATTTTACCCACAGTAGCACATCTTTCAAAATTAGAGTTAAATCTCAGCTACTCAGGAGGCTGAGGTGGGAGGATTGCTTGAGCCCAGGAGTTTAAGTCAAACCTGGGCAACATAACAAGACCCCATCTTAAAATAAATTTAAAAGAAAAATTGGAGTCAGTCTTCCCCAATCCTGCCACTGCTGTATCAACTAAGTTTATGTAATATTCTAAATTCTTGCTTATCATTTCAACAATGTTCATAGCATTTTCATTTAGGAGTAGATTCCATATCAAGAATCCACTTTCTTTGCTCTTCCCTAATCCTAATCCATTCAAGTTTGATCATGAGATTGCAGCAATTCAGTCGCATCTTCAGGCTCACTTTCTAATTCTGGTTCTCTTGTTGTTTTTACCACATCTGCAGCTACTTCCTCCAGTGAAGTCTTGAACCTCTCAAAGTCATCTGTGGGGATTGGAATCAACTTCTTCCAAATTCCTATTAATGTTGCTACTTTGACCTCCTTCCGTGAATTGCAAATGTTCTTAATGGCATCTAGGGATGGTGAATCCTTTCCAGAAGGTTACAATGTACTTTGCCCAGATCCACCAGGGAAATCACTATCTATGGCAACTATAGCCTCATGAAATATATTTATTAAATAAAAAGACCTGAAAATTGGAATTATTCCTTGATTCATGGGCTATAGAATGGATGTGTTAATAGGCATGAAAATAACATATATCTCTATTAGAGCTCTTGAATGACCAGGTTCATTGTCAATGAGCAGTAATATTTTGAAAAGAATCTTTTTTCTGAGCAGTAGGTCTCAACTGAATAAAAATATTCAGTAAACCATACTGTAAACAGATGTACTATCACCCAGGCTTTGTTGTTC